AAATTTCTCAGATGAAATCGACACTTCATAAATTGAAAAACTTATATATAAAAGACAATCAACTCTCTCCAGCTGAGTGACACATCAGCAATGGAGAGAGTGACATGTGGCACATCAAAAAATTGAAAAAATAACTAATTAATTAAATTTAAAGCCAAACACATTAAAAACATAAATAAATATTAATATATATATATACATTAGAATGTAATTCAAATTTAATTTAAATAAAAAACAATAACTATTATATAATACAAATTTTTTTAAATGTAGTATTCTATTTTCTTCTTTCAAGTGATTTAAATTTTATTCTAAATTTTAATGCAAATGAAAAAAAATTAAGATTGAATAAATTAAGAAGTTTCAAATATTCTTATATAAAACTTCAACTAATAAATTATAAAACACAAAAAATATTTAATAAACAATTAAAGAGATAAAAAATTATTTTAAAAAAAAATAGTATAAAGAAAGGCCGGCACATAAAAATGTCATACATGTTTTTTTTTTTAAATAAAAAATGGAATCAATAATATATATATAACTAAAAAATTCAAAATGGTAAATGGAAAAAGTTAACAAGTATTATATTAGTAAGATTTACAAGAATAAAAAGAATATGAAGATCGAAGAACAAATAAATATTCCTCTCTGATATTTAACGTATATTTTTAAGTGAATTCTTACGTTTTCATACAAAATTTTAAATAGTAGATTTTTATTTCCTTATTATTTTGGAAGAAAAATTAGACTATTAAGCACAACCGGTGTAGAAAAGATTACAAATAATATATCATCAAAAAGAAATTGAATAAAATATAAATATTTTAAACGCAAAAACATTGATAATAAACATAAAATTATTTCAATACAGATTTTAAAAATATATTATTTAAATATAAATTAAAACAAGATCCGCGCATACACGCGAGTTCTCTCCTAGTTAGAATAAATGTCATTAACTTTATTTTTAAAATGGACACTTGTTGGTCTATAGAATGCTGATGCCTTTCTCTCAAGAGAGGCGAGTCTATATATAGTGGAGGAGAGAGCTAGGGTTCGACCGTGTTGATAAAGTCTCGCCGACTTGAACAACAAGCACAAGAATATTCTTAAAATATTTGCAGAATATTCTAGAAGGGCGGCGATCTAAAATAGGCCCAAAAAGAATTGCTCGACAGCCCAGCGACCAGCTACCTATAAGAGCCCAAGAACCAAAGAGACTAAGAGCTTTAAGAGCCCTAAGAGCCCTAAGAGCCCTAAGAGCCATAAGAGCCCTAAGAGCCCTAAGAGCATCTCCATTAGTGTTACTCATGTTGAGTTTTATATAAATAATTTAATAATTTTTTTGGAGAGAGAAAAAGCTAAGAAACTATCTGTTTTTGCTGTCCATTAGTGTTCCTTCATCAGAGCTCATCAATTCCATTTCTCCACTCGAACCTAACCAATCTTCCTCAAGATGCTTCTCTTTCGCTTCTCTTTCGCTGTATTCCTCTGATTTCTCTAGACCCAGATCATAATCACCGGCTAACTTTTGATCATCGAGCCAATCGCTTCGACCATAACTTGCTAAAGTGTTTCGGGCCATAAGGAGCGTCGGAGCGAAGCTCGATCCATCCTGGACTATCCGATTGAACAGACCCATCTTCATCGATCGCATCCACACGACACACACCGTTTTTGCGATACGATCTCCGAAATTCTACTAGGGCACTCACAATCGCATCCAACGAGAGAGAAAGGATAGAGAAATAGTTTTTTTCTTTTTCCCCGACAAAAAAAAAATTTCCCCTAAAATTAATTACACAAAGTTGAAAAAAAAATAAACATCCAATGAACGCTTGCCACGTGTCTTAAGAGATGGTCTCTTCAGCTCCTTATATAAAGAGCGCTCCTTAAGGAAAATGGGCTCTTACAATTTTTTTTAATCATCTTGCCTATGAAACTGTACCACAAAATGGGATCAGGTGCTCTAAGAGCCCTAAGAGTCCTAAGAGCTCTAAGAGCCTTAAGAGCATGTTTATTAGAGAAACTCATAAAGAGTTTTCAAATAATATTTAATAACAAATAAAAGAGAGGAGAGAGAAATAATGTTTTTCTATTAAGGTGAGTCATAAGAGAGATATAGAGATGAAAAAAGAAAAGAGGAGAGAGAAAAATGTTTTCTTCTTCTCTAGCCAACCATCGCATGCCACATCATCACAGGGATCGATCCTTCAGATCCTCAAATAAGGATCGTTTCTTTTTTTCTAATCAGCTTTATTATTAAAATATACCCAAGAAATCCAGCAAGAGTCACCGATAAACATGATCTAAGAGCCTTAAGAGTCCTAAGAGCCAATAAACCAGCAACGAGCAACCATCAACGAACAACCAGCAACCAGCAACGAGCCACGAGCCACGGCTAGGCCAGGCGGCGGCGGCGCGCGTGTGGTCTTTTCTCTTCTCCATCACACTTTGACCAAGGATATAACATAGTCCTTATTTATATCACTCAAAAATTTTTCAACCCACCAATGTGGGACCAATGACATATTTCATCATTTAAGTTTAATCAATTCATAAGGCTTTTCATTAAGCTCAAAAGCTTTCATTTCAATTCACACACACACATTTGTATAAAGCCCACAAGCTTTAACAAATTGTTCCAACACAACACACATAACAACTTAAACAATTAGAAAAATATGTTTTTATTCTCCTCTTCTTCATTAAAGACCTCTACAACTCACTTTTTCTTTTTACTACGATAACCACATAAGTAGTTGGTATCTGTTAATATCTAAGTATTTTTTCAATATATATTTTTTTTATCAAATATTAGATTTAGTTTGATTTGTGATTTTTAATTAAATTACAAATGAAAACTCAAATAATTGGTAAATTTATCAACTTTAAGAAAGTATGATTCAGAATTTCAGATTAAAATAAGTTGAAAATTATAGATATTTATTATAGGTTTATGAAAATTACGTAAGTAATTCGGAACGATTATGATTATGTCGTGATTGCAGGAATATGTACATATAAAAATGGCATTCTAATTTAAGCATGAAATCTTCTTGATGCATTTATATGAAGGAAATAAAGATATTATCTTATTATTCTCTACAATTTTTAAAAGTGACATTTGTCACTAAATTTATTAGAAATTTCATTACTAAAATTGTATGTAGTAATAATTTTATTATTAAAAATTAAATTTTATAGGATTTATTTCTAAGAAATGCTTTTTGCTTTTTTTTCTTCTTTTTCTCAAGTATATTTTTGTTTAGTTCATCTTTTGTTGTTTTATTTTCATATAAGTAATGTAATCAGAATCATAGAATTTTGTATTCTTATCCACTTAATGAATTATTTGCAATATTATGTTTTATTTTACACATCTATTTATTATTTTACATCAAAACAAATTTTTTTGGTCAATATTATGTCAAAAAGAAAAACATTTTACCATTTTCATTTGTTTTCATTGGTTTTCAAAAAATATAATTTTAAATCGACCAAATGATAATTAACTTGTAATAACGAGGGTTCTGGTCTCCTCGTAATTAACTACTTCAAGCATATATAAACCTATATCCTCATCTTTTTTTTTTTGGAATTACCAGGAGGTTCTGAGCCGAAGCCCATAATCACTCCTGGCCCGAGACCACAATATGTTTTATTAGTTTCGTCACAAAAACCACTTGAACCAGTGACTTCTAATCTTTGCCAGAGATCTTTACCAATTGAGCTATTGGCTCTTGGTATTCTCATCTCTCTATACATGTGAAGAACCTCAAGTCAGCAAAGTATCATATTTCTTTTTCGTGTCTCTTTCCTTCGCAAAGGAAACCATCTCCTTCTTTTGCGATCCAATCCATGGAGAGATCACTTGAGATTGCCCATCAAAGAAGCCGTGAGTACAAAAGTTATATCAATTCGATGGGTGGATTTGGATCCCAAAATCATGATGTTCTGATGAAATTAATGTTTGAAAGAGAAAACCATTTGCAATCTGTTTGTTTGTTTGGTTTTTTTTCTTGTTATGATAAATTGGAAATTCTATATTTGGTTTGAAGAACTACCGTTGGTATTTGTTTTTATGTTTGAGATGTTTGGGATCTATTTGTATCAATATTCATATTATATGATTGCCTTGTTGATTTACTATTTCATTGTCAAGGGATTGTGAAATCAGGAGTAAAAGAAAAAATAATAGGTAGTAATAGTAAAGCATAAGATAAAAATTTCAAGAACATTTTTAATTGTGATAAAATGAATTCTTCATTCAAAACATATTTAAGTATCAAAACATATAAAATGGTATAGAAAAATAAAAGAATTTGTGGATATATATATATATATATATATATATAAACTCGTATAAACCTAAATGCATTAGTCATTCTAAAACATATCGAAGTGTCAAACACCATTAAAAAGTAAAAAGAAAACGGTAGGACAAACATATACAATTTTAATAACTTAATGACAAGCAAAATTTAGTCACTAAATTTAAAATTAAAGGAGGAAAAACATATTAAGTTATTTAGGATTGCATTCATTTCATAAGTAATGAAGTTCCAAAGAGTTAGATCTTGATTTGAAAGTAAAAATGTTACCATGACAATATTTGAACTCGTGAACACAAAGTCTCATAGAAACCCTTAACCAACGAATTACTCAACCAACTTAACAAACATTGTTACCGAAAATGTAGACTAAAACTCTTACCTTTTTGTCCACTATGGGAGAAGGCATGGCTCTATACAGAGTTGGAATGTTTTTGAACCTGGGAGAAAAAGTAGCAACTCAAGTGCCCTAATTTCAAGATTAGCATTTACCTTTGGATCATCCGATGACCAAAACAAGATTGTCAGTCTTTAAGCGGCAAGCATTTGAAATACTCCAGCTAGAGAAGGATTTCACAAGGCTGTCAATATCATATCCTTAAGATATATCTAGGGTTAGTCTCTGAAAGGTTTGGACAATTACATAGTGTTACCTTATTGTCAATGGTCCAAGGGAAGAAGTTGAAACTTCTACCGGAAGAACACAGAAAGAAGTTTTGGGAAGTAAAAAAAAAACTGTTATCTGACACTAAATTCACTGCATATACTGTATGGTTGTCTAATTTGTAGTTGGTCCTGCTCGCTTTTTCTAAGGAGTGTGACTGTGAGCTCATTTTCTATTTGTTTAATACCAACAGGGCATTACCACTTATGAGTATGTTGTGGCAATGAGAGCAATGAGCAAGGCGCCAGCTGGAGCTTCGATCGATGAGGAAATGCCTAATGTGCAGTATTCTCCCTCTGGATCTGCCACGACCGGTTTTAGTGGTGGAAGCTCTCTTTGTCTACCATACAAGGGAGCCTGGTGCACTCCTCCTAGAGTGTTTGTTGATTATCAAGTATGAATTTTCAAACAGTTTTCACCGAGTTTCTATTCAATGTGATATGTTGCTTTGATACTTGTTACTTGTTGTTGCAGGATGGAGTCATTCCTCATTTGGACCCTGGAATGGTCCCATCGACCATAGATCCAGATGCAGCTGAATCAGCAGAGAGGGGTAACAAGATCCCAAAGAGACCTGTCAAAATCAGTGCTTGGAAACTCGCAAAGCTGAATTCAAATGAAGCTACAAGGGCAGCAGCCAGAGCCAGAGCATCCTCGTCTGTCTTAAGACCGATAGAAAACCGTCATGGACAAGACGATGACCTTAGTTCTAGTGGCACCATCAGTGTCATCAGCAGTGTAAGCACAGATGCAAATGGAGCTGTGTTGAGTAAAGAAATGAGAAACAATGATCCAAGGTTGTCTCTTTCTAGAAACTCTTTTGCTCAAAGCCAAGGTAGCAGGGACGAGTACGAGACAGGGACACACAGTATGAGCAGTTTCAGCAGTCCTAGCCATGTTCACGAGGCCGTCACGCTTAGCCCTCTCCCTCAGTCTCATACAGCTGGCCACCGCTTCACTGCACCGGCATCATTAAATGCTCCTCGTCTACTTCTTAATCCAGCGACCAACCACTTGATCCACTCAACCTTTAATGCAAAGATAATGCAGAAAGGAAACAACCCCGATCCATTGCTTCACACTGCTCCTTCAGCTTCTCTTCTGAGAGATGTGAGAAGAATATCAGTTGTTTGGGACCAAGAAGCAGGTAGGTATGTATCAGTTCCTGCAACAACATCTGAGGCAAGAACCAGATTGTTCTCACAGAACCAGCCACTTCCTATCTCACACATGGGTAACACTCAGAATCCAAGACCCGTTGTTCTTCCACCTTCATCTGGTAAGGCTCCTCCTCCATTGCAGCAAGGAGAGAGACTTACGTATACAGGTGACTCAATCTTCTTTGGGGGTCCTCTGGTGAATATTCCGAACAGAGATAGCCTTAGACATGAAGGAGACTCGGGAAGAGAGGGACAAGAGAGAATGACATTGACATTGCCTCGAGAAGCTAGATTCAGAAGAGACTCAGCCTCAAACCAGCTTCCAGTCTTTGCTCCTGTTGGTAACCGCAAGTAAAAACCTTCAATATTTCAAGGACCTTGATAGAGACTGACAGGAGAAGAAGAGGCTTAGCTGCTTGAAGGTCAAAATCAATGGGACTCGCTCAACGGTTGCAGTCAATAGATACGATTTGTCTGAATCTCCGGGGACTTGTGGTTGAGTAGTTTGCGGATTAGTTGATGAGGTAGAAAGTAGAATCCTTTGTGAACATTCCTTCCACGAGCTGGGTCTTCTTACATCATTGCTTCATTATTCGCTTTGAAAGAACCAAGTTGTTGTATGACTCCATGAATCTAAGATCTTGCTTTTATGATCATTACTTTAGAGAATTAGCTCAGGTTCAAAGTTATCTTCTTCTCAGCTCGACTTTGTTGAGCTCACTTAATAGGTTTCCAAAATGCTTCTCTACCTTTTTGCTATATAACAATTTCTTGCCTCCCTCTCATCGTATAACCAAAACAAATTATTTCTCCTTTCTTTTTCTTAACTCATTGTTGCAAAAAAAAAATCAAATAAACGATACCATGTTGCAGTCCGAACAATACATAGGCTGGTCTAAACGTGATTGTGGTTTTAGCGTTTTTGGGCATTATTAGATTTTATATATATATATATATATATATATATATATAAAACTGCTATTTAAGTTGTGGTTTTCTTGAGCGTAGACCATATCGGCCTAATCGGACTACAGGTTTGAAATAGGTCTCCAGCAACACCAAATTTCATTATCGGATTAAGGCGGATCTCATATTGCTATTTTGCTAGTTAACTCTAAAATTTTACAAAATATCCATTTTAGGAATATATATATGTATATGTATATGTATATATATCATTCTGATTTAAGTAATAAATCTCCTTGATGCATGTATGAGAAGAAAACTTGGTTCTAAGAAATTATGTATATTGTTACTCCCTACAAATATTTAAGATTGACATTTGTCGCTAAATTTATTCGAAGATTCAATACTAAAAACTGTTTTATAATTATAGTTATTAAAAAAAAATTTGTTGGATTTTTTTTTCTATAAACACTAGGATTTTCTTTCTCTAAGTGTATTTTTTTCATCTTTTGATCTTTTTATTTTCATACAATTAATGTAATCAGAACCACATAATTCTATTAATTAATTATTTGCAATATTAGTTTATTTTGCATATATATTTTGGGATTTTTGCAGAGACAACAATTTTTATTTGGTAACAAATCTGTCAAGAAAAAAAACATTTATTATATTTTATTTTGTTTCCATTGGGTGCCAAACATTGTATTTATCTCTAATTAATCTTTCTGTGTCTCCTCGTAATTAACTACATCAAGTATATATAAACCTCCATCCTCATATCGCTTTATACTTTATACGTACGTGAAGAACCTCAAATCAAAAAGTATTTTCTCTTTTTCGTGTCTCTGTTCTTCACAAAAGATTTTAAACTTCTTTTCATCGATCCTATCCATGGAGATATCACCTTTAACATCTGATGCACAAGAAAAAAGTATTGTTGATGCGATCAATACTGATGATCGCATCAGCAAACTCCCAAACGATTTATTGGTTAAGATCTTATCAAGATTATCCCTCAAAGAAGCCATGAGGACAAGTGTTCTATCAAATCGATGGGTGCATGTGTGGAAGGATGTGTCTCGTCTCTTCTTCGACCTACGAAAGTTGGCCGTAATCAGACCTCTTTGGTACCATTCTACTGATCATCATGCCGCTAGATCAATGACCAAGGTCCATTTCATTTTTTCATTAGTTTCTCATATATACGGCTTTTTGGATAAAGAAAATAGGTCTGATCTATAAACTGATGATAGGTTGTTGTTATGTTGCAAAACTCTAAGATAACCCATGAATTCTATAAATTAGGTTACCCTTGGTTGTTCTAAGTGCAAAAGCAAAACCTAGATAACCCATGAATACATTTTCTATAGTTTGCTATCAAAGTACATGACTTTTAAAAAAAAAAGAGGTTCCAAATTATTTGAGATATTTAACAAGTTTGGTGTTGTTATTGTAATGTATTTATTGGATTATATTTTGAATTTACAATGTGAAAGATAATTGTTAACAGTATTTAGAGCAGAAAACTCAACTTTTCAAAAACTATTTATAATCAATGTTTTAAGATCAGTGAGTTCGATTTCCATTGGAAATAATGACTTATCAAAGGCTGATCCTGGTTTTGATAGATGTAAACAAGATATGGAATTTCCATATTGAAAAAAAAGAAAAATGTATTTGAAATGAATATAGGTCATGAATTTATTATTTTGTGAACAGGAACTGTAGGGAAGCATAAATCTGTTGCCTTGTTCCACATAGAATTACTTGCATACAAAATATATTCTTTACATTTTTGTATGAAATTATAGTTTGCATGTTTGATTTAGTATTTAACAATTTAACATTTGTGTCTCCCTACAACTTTTTTGGATATATATATATATATATATACCAATTACATATATCAATTTTTATGTTTGTTTTTGCGACATAGAAACATACATGTCCTAAATCATTAGTTGTCCTTGTAGGTTATAAACGATCACCATGGCCATTTGGAAAAATGCACAATCATTTATTACCCATATCAATGTGAAGACGGGATGGTCGAGGCTTGGATTCGGTCATTGATTCATGTGAAACACATCAAGCATCTCACACTTAAAAACTTTATATGCCCTTTTAGACCAAACCCTACCATCACACTCGACTTGCCTCCAGAATCATTTTCCCATCCATGCCTAGATTCACTGACTTTAAGTCGGTATAACATAGAAACCTCACATGCTTTCGACAACTGCTGGAATATAAAGAAGCTAGAACTCACTGGCATTTCCGCCGGGGTTGGAGTCTTTAACGTAGTCCTCGTGTCTTGCCCTTCTCTTGAAGTGCTTGTAGTTGATATCAATTGCCACAAAGGAAGAGGTCTTCTGAAAATTGAGAACCCCAACTTAAAGTTCTTGTATCTATCCTGTTATAATATTGATGCCATTGAAGTGTCTTCACCAAATCTTGACATCCTCACCATCGGAAATCTCTTGTGTGAGAAAGAGAAGGTCGTCATTGCGAGTCCTAGACTCCAGTTTTACAGAAACTATTGGACTACATTATATGCTCACACCAGCTATAGTATATCATGCCCCGATCAGGTATCTGTTTCTTTGCATTCAATTGTAGTTTGCTAATTTATACTTAATTTGACATCTTTCTGAATATAAGGAGAAAAAGAGCATTGGACATGAATTCCTGATGAGGAGATCACGTGACTTTTTGAGTGAATTTGCATCGATGTCGGTAAGTGTAGACTTGGCAAATGCAAAAGAAGTTGAGATGCTACAAGAAATTTTAGCTGCATGTCCTAGAGAAATGGAAAAACTAGATATCTTATTCAAGGTACGTTCATTTCATGTTTTTGAATAATAATTGGATGGATATACATAATTACCCATCTTCGTGTTTTTCATAACATTTGCTTATATAAATACCTAGTTATCAAGATGTCCGATACATTGACTTTTTCCATTTTCTTTTGTTATATAGAAAAGCAATGTTCCGAGGAAAGAATTTGAGACTTCTATTGGAAGAACACAGAAGCAGTTTTGGGAAGAGACAAAACCGTTTTCTCACGCTAACTTCAGTGCATATACTGTAAGGCTGTCTAACTTTAGCGGTTCAAAAGAAGAGTTTACGTTAGCGTCGCGTTTGATAACTCAAGGGATGGTAGGCAAGACTATGCTAATCAAACCATCGTCGTTTTCTCCAAGTAACAAGTTACAGATAGAGGGGGCAGTGGCCAACCTAAACGAACTTCCAAAAGGCCACAGAGAGCTCGATATCGTAATGGTATGATGTTGAATCCAGCCAATCGTAATAAAAAGAGAAAACCTGTTATATATGTTGTTTCAAGAACCGCCTTTGGTATTTTTTTTTTTAATTATGTTTAAGACGTTTGGGATCTAATTTTTATCAGTTTTCATATTACCTGCATGTCTTGTTGAAATATTATCGCATTGCCAAGTTCTTGTCTTGGTCAATGCTTTTTACAAAAGGGATTATGAAATCTAGAGCTTTAAAAAAGTAGGTAATACCGTGATAGTTTGGCATAGAATAAAAAGAAAGGTATAGAACATTTTAATTGTGCTAAAATGAATTAGTCATTCTAAAACATATTGAAGCGTAAAACACCTCTCAAAAGAAAAACAAAATGGTAGAACAAACATATAAATGCAAAATTGAGTAACTAAATTTAAAATTAAAGGAGGACAAACACACTAAGTTACTTAGGATTGCTTTCGTAAGTAATGGAGTTATAAAGAGTTAAATTATGATTTGAAAGTTAAAATTACTATTACAAGATTTAAATTCATGAACACAAAGTCTCGTAGAGACCCTTAACCAGAGAACTGAAACCCTTTACCAACTCAACCAATGTTACTGATGTAGCCTATGGGAAAAGGCATGCATGGACCTGTACCAAGTTATACAATCTGCCATTTCCTAATTAGAGGATCATATTGACTCTAAAATAATTCAATTTATAGATATATATTTTAAAATATATATTCTATATATACATGTTTAATATATCATTCTCTAATTTAAGCAAAAATCTCCTTGATGCATGTATGAGAAGGAGATGTAGATATTTTGGTTCATATATCTAAGAATGATGTATCCTATAATTCGCTGAAACTATTCACAAGTTACATTTCTCACTAAATTAATTTGTAAATTTAATACCTAAACAGTTTCGGAGGTATAAGTATAAGTATTGAGTTTTTTAAAAAATATTGTTTTAGTAAAATGTTTGTTGCGCCTTTTTTTCTCAGGTGTATATTTTTTTCATCTTCCGATATTTTTACTTTAATAAAATGTAATCAAGACAGCATACATTTTTTTATTTCTTATGCAATTAAAGAATTATTTGCAATATTAGTTTTTATTTTTCACCTCTTTTTTTTGTAGAGAAAAGAAATTTTATTTGGTAAATACATGAAGGAAAACAATCTTTTATATTTTATTTTGTTTCCATTGGGGTGTTAGAGAAAAATAATTTTAGTTGACCAAATGGAAATCAAATAGAATTTTATTTTCAGACAACAACCCCAAATATTTTATTTGTCTCTAATTAATCTTTCTTGTCTCCTCGTAATTAACTACATCATGCATATATAAACATCCATCTTCATCTTGCTTAACACGTAAAGAACCGCAAGTCAAAAATACAAATCTCATTTTTTTGTGTGTATCTGTTTTTCACAAAAGACTCTGTCTCTCCTTCTTTAGCGATCCAATCCATGAAGAGACAAAGTAATGTTGATGTGATCAATGCCAATGATCGAATCAGCAGTCTCCCAAATGAGGTATTGCATAAGATCTTATCAAAAAACTGTCCATCCAAGAAGCTGTGAGGACAAGTGTTCTATCATGTCGATGGGTGGATTTATGGAAGGAGATGTCACATCTCTTCTTGGACCTACGAAAGTTGGCCAAATTCAGAACTCTTTTTCCCCATGTTACTGATAATGATACCAAGGTCCATTTCTTTTTCTCAGTAGTTTTTTCTTATGGCTTTTTGGATAAAGAAATTGCACATATAGATCTGGCCTAAGTTCTGGCCTATAACTTAGGTTGTTCTTATAGTACACAACCCTAAGTCAACCTGGTTTGCGATCAAAGTACATGACTTAAAGAAAAAAGGGAGACTCTTATTTATTTGAGAAAACATGTTTTGTGTTGTTATTATACTGTATTTTATTGGGTTTATTTTGAATCTCTGTTACGAAAATAAAGGTTAAAAGTCTTAAGGGCGAAACAATCAGATTTTTAAATTTTTTATGATCTGATGATCAGTGAGTTACTTCCGTTGGAAATGAAATGCTGATTCTAATTCTGAGAGATGTATACTTAGTCTGGAATTTTATGACAACCATTATAAATGAAACCAGATATTGTGAAATCCGACATTAATATGCCATATATCATAAATGGTCATCATTAGAGGAATTTGTGGCATAAAAATAAATGGATTAGAGATAAGTGAAATAGGGGTGATAGGAGCATAATTTTGTTCACTCTTCTCTATTGAAATTAGTAGAGAAAGAAACTTTTTTTTTGGCGAAATTAGTTGCTCTATTTTCCACTATTGTTCACTTCAAATCGTAATATGTTTTAGAGAAATATTAAAATCCACCATTTTCATTTCTCTAAGTGTACAACGATTTTTTTTTTTCACCATAATAACTTGGTTTCTTTGTGTTTGTTTTGTTTTTACCACCTAAAAACATACATGTCCTAAATCCTTTTTTGGCCTTTTAGGTTATAAACGATCACCGTGGCGGCTATTTGGAAAGATGCACAATCTATTATTACTCATACCAATGTAAAAACAGGATGGTCGAGGCTTGGATTAGATCATTGATTCATGTGAAACACATCAAGCATCTCACACTTATAAACTATCTGTGCCCTTTTAGACCAAACACAAAACCCGTCACACTCGACTTGCCTCCAAATTCATTTTCCCATCCATACCTGAAATCACTACACTTAGGTCGGTATCATATAAAAACTTCACATGCTTTCAATAACTGTGGGAATCTAATGAATCTAGAACTCACTGGCATTTTGGCTGAGGCTGGAGTCTTTAACGCAGTCCTCATGTCTTGCCCTTCTCTCGAAGTGCTTGTAGTAGTTATCAATTGCGACAAAGGAAGAGGTCTTCTGAAAATTGAGAACCGCAACTTAAAGTTCTTGTATCTATCCTGTTATAAAATTGATGGCATTGAAGTGTCTACACCAAATTTGGACATCCTCAGCATTGGATCTCTCTGGTGTGAGAGAGAGAACGTTGTCTTTGAGAATCCTAGACTCCAGTTTCATAGAAACTATTGGACTACAGGAAAAATATATGCTCACACCAGTTATTGTATATCATGCCCAGATCAGGTATATCCGTATATATATTAATTTCTTTTGCATTCCATTGTATTTTGATAGAGAAGGAAACGATGCTGATCTATACTTAACGTTATATCCTTGACATATTTATTATTTATGAATCTTAGGAGAAAAAGAGCATTGGACATGAATTCATGATGAGCAGGTCCCAGGAATTTTTGAGTGAATTTTCATCGATGTCGGTAAGTGTAGACTTGGCAAATACAAAACAAGTTGAGATGCTGCATGAAGTCTTAGCTGCATGGCGTGGAGAAATGCAAGAACTTGAGGTCTTATTCAAGGTCAGTTCATTTCATGTTTTGAATAATAATTATGTGGGTAGTATATAGAAATAGAATTAGCCATGTTTCTGTTTTTCATAACGTTTGCTTGTAAGCAATACACACCTAGTTATCTAAATTTCCGATACATGACTTTTTCCATAGAAATGCAATGCTCCGAGTGCAGAAGTTGAAACTTCTATTGGAAGAACAAAGAAGCAGTTTTGGGAAGTGAAAAAACCGTTTTCTGACGTTAACTTCACTGCATATACTGTATGGCTGTCTGATTTTAGCGGTTCAAAACAAGAGATTGCGTTTGCCTCGTGGTTCATAACGCAAGGGATGGTAATCAAGACTATGTTAATCAAACCATCGTTGTCTTCTTCAAGTAAGAAGTTGGAGATAGAGGGTGCAGTGGCCAACCTAAAGGAACTTCCAAAAGGTCACAGTGAGCTCGATATCATAATGACCTAATAAAATTTGGTTTGAATCCAGCCTTTCGTAATAGAAAAGAGAAAACCCTTTCTTTTTATTTAAAGAATTTGGAAATTTTATATGTTGTTTTAAGAATTTCTTTTGGTATTTGTTTTTAAGTTTGAGGCGTTTGGGGTCTAATTTGTATCAATTTTATATTATCTGAATATCTTGTGAAGTTATTATTTCACTGCCATGTTCTTGTCTTGGTCAATGGTTTTACACATGGGATTTTGAAACGAGTTAAAAAATACTATGTAATACCGTTTAAAGCTAGGCACAATATAAACATTGTATACAGTGCCGATAAAAATTAATTAACAAAACTGTTAACCAACTCCACTAACATTGTTACTGAAAATTTAGCCTAAAATAAAAAGTAAACAGGTGGTTGAATCCCCTTGCCTTTTTTCAATCATGGGAGGCATTTCTTCGTACGAGATGGAATGTTTTTGTACCTAGGAGAGAAAATAACAAGTAAAAGGTTTCTTAAGGTTTGAGAACTGATCCATTACTAAAATATATTGAGATGCAAGGTTTCTATGACCAGAGCTCTATGTCTGATGTTCTTTTCGGGCATTTTCTCCACATGAAACCTAAAACACATATTGAAATGACCATGTAATGCATCTAATCTATGTCCCTTTCTCCAGTGCCACATGTCGTAATCGAAATTCTTTTTCGTACATTCCATTCCTAATCTTTTTTTTTTTTTTTAACTCTTTTGAAGTAGCTGAACAAGTTTCTGAACAGTCTACGTGACTATTTCTGTCGCACTGATATTAACACCGATCTTACACAACTACTTTTTTTTTTGTCAATAATCTTACACAACTACACACCATCATTCTCTGTACTATTATGTCAATTTTTAATAGTAATCTATAAAAGTTTCCATTTTCTTAATTAGATGAATTATTTTGACTCAGAAATAATACGTAGATATGTATATATAAAAATGGCATTCTAATTTAAGCATGAAATCTTCTTGATGCATGTATATGAAGGAAATGAAGATATTATCTTATTATTCTCTACAAATTTTAAAAGTGACATTTGTCACCAAAATTTATTAGTAATTTCAATACTAAAATCGTATGTACTAATAATTTTAGTTATTAAAAATTAAATTTTATTGGATATTTTTCTAAGAAATGCTTTTTTCTCTTTTTTTCTTTTTCTCTAGTATATTTTTTGTTTAGTTCATCTTTTGTTGTTATATATTCATATAAGAAATGTAATCAGAACCACATAATTTTGTATTCTTAGAGCAGCTCCAACGGAGTTTTATGAGAGTATTGTCCGTGGACCCAAGAGCTCGTTTTGCAATTTTAAAAAAATCAAGCCCTTTTTTCTTGACGGATCGTCTCTTGCAGACGAGCCTGACGAGCCGTGTTTTGTGAGTATGATCGGTGACGTGGCAAGCTATGATTCGTTCATATTTTTGTATACATTCTAATTTTATTCGACTTCATTTTTTCGCGAGACAACTACACATTCATTTCCTCTTCTCTTCACCGAGGTCTCGATTCTGCGGCGAAATCGGTTCACTGTCTCGTATCTAACCGACGAATCGGTTCACTGTCTCCGCCGTGATGAGTAAGGTATGTGTGTGTTTGGGGTTTTCGTCTTCGGCTTGAATCAAATTTGGGTGATATTAGGGTTTGTATCAATTGGGGAAAATCTGGGTTTATTCGGTTTCTTCAAAATGAGTATCAGAGTTGATTTTCCCCAATTGATACAAACCGAATAAACCCAGATTTTCCCCAATTGAGTATCAGAGTTGGAGGGGTAAAATGAAGTTGAGTCCTTCAGATTTACAAAAAAAAAAAATTGCAAAAAAAACCCCTAAGAGACCCGAAAAGGATATCAGCGTTGTAGTTGCTCTTATCCACTTAATAAATTATTTGCAACATTAGGTTTTAATTTACACATCTATTTATTATTTTACATCGAAACAAATTTTGTTTGGTCAATATTATGTCAAAAAGGAAAACATTTTACCATTTTAATTTGGTTCCACTGGGTGTTAAAGGAATATAATTAATTTTAAATTGACCAAATGATAATTAACTTTTAATGACGAGGGTTTTGGTCTCCTCATAATTAACTACGTCAAGCATATATAAACCTATATCCTCATCTCTCTTTACATGTTAAGAAACCCAAGTCAGCAAAGTATCATATCTCTTTTTCGTGTCTTTCTTCTTCACAAAAGAATCCAACTCCTTCTTTAGCGATCTAATCCATGGAGAAATCACTTTTACCATTTGATGCGCTAGGAAAAAGTAGTGTCTTTGTCGATGCAGTCAATATCGATGACGATGATCGAATCAGCACACTCCCATACAAGGTGTTGCTTAATATCTTATCGAGACTGCCCATCAATGAAGCCGTGAGGACAAAAGTTCTATCAATTCGATGGGTGGATTTGGATCCGGGAATCTTGATGTTCTGATGAAATTAATATTTGAAAGAGAAAACCCTTTGCAAACTGTTTGCCTGTTTGTTTTTTTTCTTGTTATAATAAATTGGAAATTCTATATTTGGTTCGAAGAATTATCTTTGGTATTTGTTTTTATGTTTGAGATGTTTGGGATCTAATTTTATCAATTTTCATATTATATGAATGTCTTGTGGATTTACTATTTCATTGTCAAGGGATTGTGAAATCAGGAGTAAAAGAAAAAAATACTAGGTAATAATAGTAAGGCATAAGATAAAAATTTCAAGAACATTTTAATTGTGCTAAAATGAATTCTTCATTCAAAAACATATTTAAGTATCAAAACATATAAAATGATATAGAAAAACAAAGAATTTGTGGATAAACAAAATAAAAAAATACTAGGTAATAATAGTAAGGCATAAGATAAAAATTTCAAGAACATTTTAATTGTGCTAAAATGAATTCTTCATTCAGAAACATATTTAAGTATCAAAACATATAAAATGATATAGAAAAACAAAGAATTTGTGGATAAACAAAATTATATATATATATATATATATTAAACTTGTATAAGCTAAAATGCATTAGTCATTCTAAAACATATCGAAGTGTCAAACACCATTAAAAAATAAAAAGAAAACGGTAGGACAAACATATACAAGTTTAATAACTTAATATATAAACTGATGATCTAGGTTATTCTAATAGTGCACAACCTTAAGATAACCCATGAACTATATAAATTAGGTGACCTGGTTGTTCAAGAGCAAAATCAAAACCTGGATAACCCATGACTACAATTCTATTGCTTGCTATCAAAGTACAAGATTTTTTGGAAAAAGAGGTTCCTTTTTATTTGAAATATTAATCATGCTGTGGTTGTGTTACGTTTGTGAAAGATAAATGCTAACGGTATTTCGCGTGAAAAAACTTGGTTGTTCAATTTTTTATAGTCAATATATTATGATCAATGAGTTTGATTCCTGTTGGAAATGATGACTTCTCAAAGGCTGATCCCGGTTCTGAGAGATGTATACTAGATTTGGAATTTCCATACTAACAAAATGAGTTTTGTTATCGTAGGGAATAGGAAATCTAGGAAAACATAAATCTATTGCCTTGTTCCACCTAGAATAGCAAAATATTTTTCATATTTACATTTTAGTATGAAATTATATTTTTCATGTTATACTTAGTATTAACTTATTTATCATTGTGAATCCCTTGGTGCCGTCATGTATATATACCAAATTACATACATCAGTTTATTATGCTGTTTATACAAAATGAAACATACATGTCCTAAATCATTCTTTGGGCCTTGTAGGTTATAAGCGATCACCATCTA